TTTTGCTTCTTTACTTTGTAAGTATTTTTTATTATTTTGTTTTATACTCTTAAGATTTATTGATAAATATACTCATTAATTTACAATTTTTTTTACATAATCTATAAATTATAATATCTAACTTATAAATTCGAAAGATATTTAAAAAATTTAATCATAAATTTGTTGATTTGTATTGTAAAATTTTCAACCCATTTTTATTTTTATTTTATTGTTCATGATAGATCTTATTATTTAATTTTAGAAAACTTAATATTTCACATATTAATAAAACATATATATAAATATATTTTAATATTTTTAATTATTGTTGTTATTAAAGCGCAGCAACACGCAGACACTAGCTAGTTGCATCTATTTATTTATTTGCTATACATTTGTTTGACACCTTTTTATTTATTCAATAATTAATGTATTTTTTTCTAGATTTGAATTCGAATTTATCCATTTCCAATATTAAAAAGATTTCGCAAAAGAGTGCTTAATAATTGGGCTTAGTTAATTGAAATTGGGCTTTACTTAATGCCTTTGCTTGGGCCTTCAAGCCTGATTTTAATATCATTTTCCTATTTCTAGTTTCATTTTAACAACAAAATAAATCATGAATACAGTCCTTCCACATGATTTATCTTTACAAAATTACTCTTTAACACACCTTTCTGTGGATTTTGGCTTTTACTAGAGACAATATGTACAATAATTTTTCTATTAAAAAAAGTATATTTATGACTTTTGATTTTTCATGCACAGTAGGCCGAACTTAAGGAATTGGGCCACAGGGTCCACCAAATTTTTAGTAGGCCTTAACAATGCCCATGGTCATATATGGTACCCTTTCTAGTCAAATTTTGGAAGGAAACTGTCTTTTATTAAACTATGTAATCTCCCCCCCCCCCCCCCCCCACACACACACACAAACAAAAAAAGGGAATCCCTGGTAATAAAATTGTAAAAAACCAGCAAATGTGTTCACTATACTACTTATAGTGGTGAAGTGAAGAAAATTCAACTTTGAGAAAGCCCTCAAAGGCTGTAGGTCAAGCAGAGAGGAAAAAAAAATGGAATTGAAGAAATGAAAATGGTGGGGTTTGAGGTAAGTCAAAGATAAAGGCATATAGTACCATAATAATACTCAAAACAACAAACAAGTCAACTGGGTTTTTTAGTGCTCATATATGCAGCTCAATGTCCACACCATGATAAAACTCAAAGCAACAAACAAAGCCCACCGCCATCATGTTTTCTATCCAGACAATCACACAACTTTGATCATTAGCAGCTTTGTTTTTTTTTTTTGGAGATAATGTCACCCTAAATTTGTTTTCCTTTTAAGTGATGAGACGTTCCCCTCACCAGACAAAAACAAAAAAGAATCTGAGACATTACGTATGGGATTTTAGGGGATTGTGCTTTAGCCCAACACTCTCATTTCCCCTATACTATTACCTTTCTCTGCTATAATATTATTGTCTCAAGAGAGAATTCTATGTGTGTACATGTGAATGACAAACATGCCATTGTTTTTAAGTAATGGATGTTAAAAGAGAAAACCCACATAAAAAATGGCAAACATGTCACAATCCAACATTTATTCTTTTAATTTTCTACACACATGGGAGAGAGAAGGGGAGAGTGAAAGTGACTGTGTGCTTTTAGGTGGATGAACATGGCTTACAATATAAACATGAGATCAAGGGGGAAAAAGTGGGGAACTGATCAGATTTGGGGAGGAATCTCTTTTAGATTTTGTTCCATTTTTGCTAAATCAAAATGAAATGACAGGTGCCAATGCCACTTTCAAAGTTAGCTCATACACACCTATTTAAATTGACCTAACATAGCAATATTTCTTACAGATAAGCATCTTTTCTCACACATCCCTCTGGGTTTCTTTTGTTTTTTATTTTTTTTTAAGTTCTCACAGAAAACAACTTTTTCTTATGATAGGCTAATCATACCTCACTTTAATAACATTCCCATTTGATTTACTCAACAATACCTCTCATATAACAGCTCTTCAAGGACAAAAAGGAAAGGAAAGGAAAGGAAAGGAAAAGAGAGATTTTTTTAGAATATTAGTTTAATGCACAACCATGATTTTCCCTACTAATATAGCACTAATATACAACTTTTGAGTAATTATTGGAACCTTTTTAGGTCTTTCTGGTATGGTGGAGACCTTTGGAATTTGAATTTACAAAATCAAATAGGAAGAGAGGGAGAGAAAGGAAGAAAAATATTAGAGCAACTACAATGAATATAATATTATAATGAGAACTGTATAAATTAAAGTAAAAAAAATTTGCTGAATTTGAAGTTTAATACAACTAATTCATAGAGATATTATTTAATAAGTTTAAATTTTAAATTTTAATACTCGTAATTGTTTTCACTACGACTTTTTTTGCATTAAAAAAATAAAAATAAAGGAGGATTGTTAGAATATGCATTCATTATTCGTACTCAAAGATAAGCTGAAAGGTGGAATATCTGTTGGCAGATTCATTTATACAAGGCACACTAACCTTAGAAAACTTCATTCCATCAATATTCTTTGGAAATCATTGTAAGAAACCCATTAAAACCAAATAACTTTCTCATAGCTTATATTTTCCGCAACACTTAGGTAAGAAAGTTCACCTTTATATATCTATCATTAGCATCATTCTTTTGGATACCAAAGAATAGTATTTATATGACAAATTAAATATAAAGACTTTATCTAAACCCTAATATATATCTCCAACTACCTAACTTAAACTTGAAGTGGCATAAGATTTTTAAGTGAAAAACGATTATTTTACAGTATATTATTTCTGAGCCAACTTCACTTGGCACATTGGTTCACAAGTTGCAAAATAAATAAATATATATATATGATGAACCCACAGGTTAGAAGAATATTATATTTTTCTAGTAGCTTGTAGTACTACGTGAAATTTTTTTTAAAAAAAGGTTTATATCAAAAAAATAAAATTACCTTTTTATTTGAATGTGTAAACTGTAGAGGCCAATAAGCAGAAAGTATCCTTCCTCGGGATTGAATCCTGCCACTTGCACCCACACCAGGTGTCAAACAGCATCTCTTTTTTCTTTAAAAAAAAAAAGAAAAAGAAAAAAGAAAACATATCCAACCCAAGCTAACCTGCCCATCCCTTCACTTTTCAGGAATCTTTTGTCTCTTGAGAATCCAATGCTTTTGTCCAAATGGTCCCATGTACCCCTTAAACTTTTACATTTATATTTATATTTTATATATATGCGAAGTATTATTTCAAATAACATGTACGTTGATTATATTTTTAAAAATTATGAATTTTGAAAGAACTTAAATGTATAATATTTTTCTTATAAGAGTTAAATAGATAAGAATTAGAGGATTAAAAATAAATTTAAAAATTTTAAAAAATTATATTATCTATATATCTATATTTGTATGTTCAATGTCATTTTTCAAATAATATGATAGAGAGAGTGAGCATTTGGATAATTTAATTTTATAGATTAAAAATATTCGTTTATCAAAATTGATATGAAATTGATATTCATATGATTAGATTAATCATAAAGATAAAAATTGTTGAATTTTACGATAATGAAAAGTAAGATCCAAGGAGTTGGGGTTCACGTACCATGAGTACGGACGTAGCTAGCTAGTGGGAAGGAGCATCCTGAGTTTACTTATAATAGAAAGTTTTGCCTTTACATAATAAGACGGTGAACACCTGTCTTGTTATGTAGTAGAAAGGCAAATTATTGTGGAGAAACTAATTTGATACCAAAAGTTAATGTATATATTTCCTTTTCATGCTCAATCATATGTGAATGAAGTTGAAGAGGGATAGAATATGGGTCATTATTTATTTTTTTGGGTAAATAGTATTTTCAAATTAATTTTATTGGGGTCCAAATATTTTATTTAAAAGTTAAAAAATATATATTATATTAATTTAATGTATATCTTATTTTACTCTCAAAATACTTCTCACAAAAATCGAACTCTTAAAAAAATCCAAAAAATCGGTAGAAATGAGATAGCTAGCATACATGGATCCGACTTAATAATTTTGTAGCCCATATATGTACTTACTGTCTCTCATGGTGAAGAAAGGCCAGGACTCGTTTATTTTTTCTTTTGCAATGTGAAAAGAAGCATTAGGATTCTCTTCCCATTCTCAAACATGCTTGAAAATTGATGTAATAAAACCCTCATATCATTACATGTTGAAAATCATAATGGCATGGGGAATAATAATACCAATTTCTAATTTGTCTTCAACTCATTCATCATGACAAGCAAGAAATAAACACAACAATCTTTCAAAATCATTATGACATAAACATAATCTCATTATTCTAGATGTGTTCTAAGATTTCTTGTGCATGAATCATAATCATAACTTACCAGCAATGTTTGTGTAACTTGATAGTATTTAGATTTAAAATATAATTGTGAAAATTAAATAAATAAAAGGATAATAAAACACTCTTTTGTTCAATAAACAATAAACTAATCAATGAAAAAAATTAAAATAAAAATATAATAATAACTTGCTCGGAGGTGAGGGTTTTAGATAGTATTCTAAGGTTTCATTTGGGAAGCATGATGAGAGTCCTCTCGTCTCATTGAAATTTGCGTTTTTATGATTGATCTTATTATAAAACGCAAATTACAGCGTGATAAGAAGACTCATTATATTCTCAAAAAGAGCTTAAGTTAATAAAAAAATTAATATTAATTAATTGATATTTATTTTTTGATTAACTTATAAACTAAATTTAATTGTGTTTCCTATTAGAAACACCTAACAAATATGATTATATTAGAAAACTAAACCCATTAATAGGATGTCAATACATCATGCTCGAGTTGCTTTAATATATTATAACATCATCATATAAATATAACATTAACCTTAGGGTTTTCCTTTGCATGTTAGGTTTTATATATAAAACCGTAGATATATATATATATATATATATGATCAACATACAAACATTAAAATTAAACAAAAAGGAAATATTAATTTGTAACATGGGCAGCATTTATATGGAACCTGATCTTATAAATCAGTATTTTGCGAGGTCCTTCCCTTTGGAAAGATTATAGCTAAGATAGAAAGAAATTAAAGAAACAGAATAAAACAAAAGGAGAATATTAAAATTTAAGATATAGTATTTGAAAATGATCAGTTTAAAAGAGGAAAAAAGAAAGAAAAAAATAGGTTTCTATATTACCTAACCTTGCCATGGTTTTTGAGACTGGTTGTGTTGTTCATGCGAAGTGTTCATGCAGTTACTAAGACCAGCAATGTTGAGAATATCGCTATGAGAGAAAGCTCTAAGACCCAAGAAATCTCTTGTCAAGCCTTCAGCTTGGTTACTATCTCCAGTACTTTCATGATCATTTCTAGTGGCAGTTGTCGTTGGTGTTGGTGTAGTTGTTTTCGAGAATGATGACTCATTGATGAAATTCCCACCCTTCTTTGCCTTCAAAATTCCACCAAATGCAATATCATCAAAGGAAGTGGAGTCAAATCCAGTGGCAGAAGACAAAGAATTCATCATGTCTTGAAGAAGGGAAGGAGAAGCACCTGAGCCAGAGGCATGATCACCTGCATTTGGAGGTTTACGGTTAGCGAAAGGGCCCAAGCCATTGATAAATGCACTACCTACAGCCACTTCTTCACGTGAAGACAAGTTGAGCCCAAAACTGGCTGTTGTGTTGTTGTTACTGCCAGCAGAATCAGCAGACATGTAAGATTGTTGGTGGGGTCTCATCACGGAGGCAACTGCAGCAGTAACTGGTGCTGATGATGAGCCAGTTTTGCTACTCATGGTTGCACCCATCTGAGCTGCTTTCTGAAGCAATGCAGTAGCTGACATGTGTGGTGAAGGTACTGATGTTGGATGGTAGGGAGGAAGACTGGGGCCAAGACTAGGGTTAGGGTTGGTGTTCTCATAAAGTGTTAAATCTTGATGGTGTGTTTGTGTGAACTCTTGATGATCTAATCTTGGCGAGAAGATCAAAGATGATGAGGAAAGGTCTATAGACTGTGGTGGACCCAGACCAGCCCCTAGCATTGATTGGGTAGCGAGCCATGGAGGAATCTCTGGCCCTAGAGTAGTGAAACTTTGTTGCTCTTTCTTAAGTGAAAAGGGTTGGATGTCTTGGGGATTGAATTGTGGTAGTTGTAAATTAATGTGAGATGCTGCTGCTGATTCACCTGGTTGATGCGGGTAGAGAAGTTTGTTAGCTCCCGTGATTGCTCTCGCACTCTCCTCTGCTAAAGCATCACAGAAGGCTCTGTGAGTGATGAAACTATCCCTCCTGAAAAAATAAAATAAAATAAAAATCAAACACAAGAAAACAAAAACATAACCAGTCATAAAGTGCTATGACAATGCCAGAAAACATTTGACTTTCACTCCCTCTTTCCCTTCTCTCTCTCTCTCTTTTCTGCAACCCATTCTTTTTTTCACTCTGAAAGCATGGGACAGATTGTCCACTTGGGCTGGTGCAAATAAAATTTCCAAATATACTATACCAGGCAGCAGAGGCATCTCTCTCTATCTCTCTCTATCTCTCTCTAGGGTGTGAAAAGTAGGAAGTAGGAACTGCTAGATGTATATTGCAATGAATTCTTAAATGCATCAGACAAATAAAGAAAGCGTAGTGTAACATTTTTTTTAAAAAAAAAAGATAATAGCAATAAAAAACCCTTTTTTTTTGTTTTCAAAACCATACTCAAGTGCACGCCTCAATAAATGAAGATTTGACTGTTGTGCTTAAATGGAACTTTGAGTGTTCATGTTTACATTAATTCCCAAAAGGATTTGTCTGGGGGGTTGGTTATTTACCTTGAGAAGAGAGTTCCACAGTCACATCTGTATTCTCTAGTGCCACAAGTCTTGGAGTGAGCTTTCCAATCTGATTGAACTGCATACCTCTTCGAACACTTGTCACATTTCCACTTCTTCTCACCATGTTTCCTGGAGAAGTGCTTCTTGATTCCTGTCAAGTCCCCAAGCGCCCTTGATGGGTCATGATGCACACAGCTAGGTTCTGGGCACACGTACACCCTCTTCCTCACCTCTTTACTTGTTCTTTGCTTTAACTTCCATGGCAAATTATGCCCTCTTCTATGAAGCTGAAGGTTCTGGTCTCTTTGAAACCCTTTGTTGCAGATCTCACACACAAATCTATTTGTTGCCATGAGTGTTTTTGGAGACAAAGCTATCACTTCTGCATCTGGGTCTGATTCAAACCCCCCCAAAAATGCATAAAAAATTTTAAAAAATGAGTCTCAGATAAGTAAAGTAAAAGTAGTTTAGGAAACAAACAAAACAAATAATAAAAGAAATGGTGTTAAGGTAAAGGATTGAAGTTTGAACCCAAACCTGGGTTGCCTGGTAGGTTTCTCTTTTTCTTAACTGGCTGAGTTTGAGGTGGTGGAGTAGTTAAGTATTGTTGAGGATAGTTGGTGCCACCTTCAGTTCTATTGCCCGAAGAAACACTTGCTTCACCAGATGCAGAAGTCAAATTAGACATATTCTCTTCCAAAACTTGTCGCTGTTGTTGGTGGAATAACAAACCTTTCATCTTCTTCTCTTACACAACCAATTCTAGAACTCTGAAGTTTGCATCATGGACCATGGATCTTGGTTTTACATACATAAGTAGGGTACAAAAAATCCAAAAACAAAAACCCAAACTAAGTTATAAAAAGCAACTTTGATACTTGATGATATACTCAAGTAGCTATATGCTTAACATATATGAATGAATACCATAATCCTCATCATCATAGACCTTTGACGGTTTCTTTCTTTGTTTTGGCCTCAACCCAAGAGACAATTTTTTGTTTTTTTAGAAAAAAAACTCCCAAAATAAACAAAGAGATGATACATATAGAGAGGGAGAGAGTAATACTGATGATAATAAGTAATAATTCTAGCCGGATAGAGCTCAAGCAGAACCCAGCTATCTATCCACTTTTAAGCTTCATGATTTGAATAAAACCTTACTTGCTAAAACCAAGAAAAAATCCAACGATAACCACACAAATATGAACAAATATAAAAGGATAAATAAAAAGACTCTGCTCGATCATAAAACTCAGACAAAGAGAGAACCAGAGAGAGAAAGCGATGTGGATGAGAAGAAATCCCTCTGTAATCCTAAAGCAGTCCAAAAACAAGAACCCAAAACCACAAACCAAAGACATGGGGAACCCTACGGGGCTAACTCTGACATTGCACTTTCTGTCTTTTCCTCTGATCTCTTCTCCAACCCCAGAAAAAAAAAAACTATTATTTCTTTATTGTCTATTGCCTTTAACAAAGCATTTTTTTTCCTTAAAATTTTTACCACTGAAAATATATATATACTTTTGTTTAATCACCCACCTTTGCCCTCCTCTCATGTTTTATACCATCTCTACCATGTTTTATTTACTTACCAAAGAGAGAGAGAGAAAAAAAAAATGGAGATGTTAATTTTTTTTTTTTCACTTTTTTTTTTTTCACATCATGGGCGTAATAGACAGTTCTTTAAGCTTTTCTACATTTACAATGATATGATTGATCCATTGATTAAATTTCTAACAAGCATGGCTAAAAGTTATGTACTCTTACAATTCTTTTCTACTTTTTATGTTTCATTTCATTATCACTTAATTACTATTTATATGTGTGTGTATATATATATATATATATATATATGAAGATTTAGCTAAAATCTCTGACAATTGTGCATGGTATATGAGTGTATTATAGTAGGAGGAATAACACCTCCCTCTTAGGTTTTTATACGAGTGGACCAGACCCTATCCTTAATTACTAAACTTGAATGGAGACTTCAATTTTCTTCAAGTTAGTGCAGGCAGAATGCAAGGTCACCACCAACTTTAGTTTTCATTATAATGAAACTTAGGTGAAGATTTTCAAAAGAAATTTGTAACTTTTTACTGTTATATATATAGACATATAGATAGATAAAAGAGAATTCATCAGCATATGTTTGCAAGTTTCAATCAACAATCATTAAAGGTAAAACTTTATCAAAATTTGTACTTAAGGATACCACTTTAAAAAGAAAATAGATTTTTTTATATTTTATTTTCTCATTTTTAATTAAAAATCTAACGAGTTTCATCGATTTAACTTCCCATCTAATCTAAGTCTTACAATAATTTACTTTTAATTACCAACATGGGTAATATCTAAAGATCTACCACTCCAAGCCTACCTAATTACTTGATTTCTCTTTTCCTCAATTACCTGCATGATGATCATGATTAATATGAACACAAAGAGAATTGAAGCAGCGCCAACTAATCGTCATCATTGTTACGGTTGTTAAAAATCAAGGTAATTATCGACCTTAGCTTATATTCAACTATGAACGTGGGGGAATTATAAAGATAAATATATCAACACACACTATAGTTGACTTCAATGTCAATATCAGAATTGAAGCAAAAGTATTGGGCCTTTTAACAGAATTTGACCGCTTCATAATAATAATAATAATAATACCCGTTCTACACCTTTACCTTGTCAAGGTTAAATGTAGACTTGCCCTTTATCTTATAGAAAAATATAGATAAAGGGGTTGCTTGACTTAATTAATTTGTGAATTATAAAAAAATTTTCCTTTCTTTTTTGGACTCAATTTTCACGATTCCGTGATTGATTTTTTTCTTGTATAAATGAGATTGTAATATAAAAATAAAAAAAGAAATTATAGATGTTACGATTTAAAATTTTAATAGTTTGTCCATTAAGGAGTTAACTCCGTGGGAAGCTTATTTATCCCAAAAATTAGTAATCTATTTATATTTGAGTTCCCTTCATCAATATTAATCTTGAATACATGAACTTGGTAAAGAATAGAACACCTCATCTTATAAAGGATGATAAAAATTTATCTATCTCTATTTTGAAATATATATATATAAGAAATTCTCCCATTTCGACAAATGTGTTTAAGATTTTATTTACTACAGAAGGAAATCGTTTTAATGAATTTTTAAGCTTCTCTAGCTTATTAAAATCTAAAATTGAAGAAATTCTCGTCAAGGAAGTCGTGTAAAAAGTTCATCAACAGTCAAGAGTGACACGATTTTTTTTTTTTGTTAGAAAGAGCCATTGGTTTAAGAAATTTAAATTAACTAATGAGAAATGCATTGCCGTATACACTTTGTCTATGGTAATAAATTATATACATATATGGAACTACATTGTCTTTCTGTTTGTTCATGTTTTCGATGAGCCCATTGTTCCCTCATCTTAAAAAATAAAAATTAAAAAAAAATAGATGGGGTAAATATAAACAAATATATTTCTTTTGTCATGTTCTCTATTCTTCAATGATTTGGGATTTTGAAATGGGATCTTGCTCGAACCAAGTCTCACATATACTCGAACCCAGCTCATCATCTACCATTAAAATAACTAGAATATGCTTCAAAAGATAAATAAAAAGGAGAAAGAAAGTTAAAAAGGAAAATAAAACGAAAACAAAAAGTATGAGAAAGTTGTCCATTTTTTTGTCTTATTTTATGTGCCTAAAGTATTTTCGCATTTTCATCATTTGTCATGAAATAGGCCGTTAACTTTTCTATTCAAATTACTTGATCCATGAGATACATACATACATACATACATATACATACATGCATACACACATGTATTCTATACATGTATGTATGTAAGTTGCACTTAAATTTAAGTAATTCAGTGCATACATAATGGCTTTTTATAATTATAAAAAAAAAAAAACTTAATTATCATATGCATATTAATGTATACAAACATATATATATACATGTATATGTGTAGATGTAAAATTATGCATTTAAATGGTAAGTAAACATGATTACGCATACATTATACTATATTAGATGAGGAAACCAGCTACTTATAATAAAGTACTCAATCATCATGTGCAAACAAATTAAAGTCGGTCCATATAGAACTATATATGTATGTTTTTTTGGTTAGGTGATAGCTAGGTGGGGCAATATTTATATTTTTTTAGAATAAGAGTTTGGTTCTAGATTACTTCTAGCTAGTTTAGGTTCAAATTAATCTTCATTTTATTACATTACCACAAAAGTATAAACTTGTCAAAGTATAGTAGTAAGAAGAATGCAAAATGAAATAAAACTAAATGCAGTACCTAGCTAGCTATCCTATACTATAGTTTTCTTTTAAAAAAATTAATTTAGGGAAGCACAAAGAGACAAAAATAGAGATCAAAATAATTAAATTTAAAATTTCATTTAATCGATTTATATAATTATTTTTAAAAAAATAATATTAAATCGAGAGTTCAAATCTTACTATTTAAAATTTTTCTTTTACCCACAAATTGTGATTTGTTTTGTAAACAAAATAAAAACAAAAAGATAGGAACAAATAGATATGAGTAAGGCAAGAAAAGGTTGCTAACAATAGTGGACAGCTCAAGATTATGGTGTCCAAGACAGAAATATAAAGTCTGAAACCTATAACAGTGAAAAAGGCTATCTTGAAGTTGACAACCTCATGCATCCATGGGAAACATTTGCTGTTGTCCATGAAAATTTGTTCGATCTATCGACTTTGCCAAACTTAAAAGGACAATATCATGTTTTCTTGTAATTGTACTGGGAAAAGTCAATCTAACACAGTAGATAGCTGAGCTGATTGATCATTTTATGCCTACATCCTGGCAAACGACGTATGTAGCCTCCAAAATTGTTGGGTTATAACTGATCTTTCATGGGAGAATAATAATAATAAAAAAAAACACTACCATTTTGCGTACAAGAATATGCTAGTTTTGTCGGCAAATCATCCAATTTCAATGATAAAAATTTAATGTCTCTAGTCAAACTATTTGAACTATTTTTCTTTTATCAATTTAGAATCAGTTTAAAAAAATTAATATTCCAATTTAAATTAAGTCCAAACACTTATAATTTCCCTTCTTTAATCTCTCTAGATTTCAACCTCCCTTACATAAAAAAAAAAAAATCATCGCAATTGTAATTGAATGAGATTTAGAGTTAATAACCTATATGGATAAACACATTTAATGATAAAAAGAAAGTGTTATGAAAAAATGATTTGATTAATATAACATGGACAATTTAAAACAATATATTTGTTTTATCTAAAAATAAAAAAAATTATTAAAAGCATAGGTGGTTATTCAAAATCTAGCATAAATCTTGCTTGTTTCTTTTAAGTGTGTAGGTTGCTGATATTTTGATTTGATTTGGCAACAACCCAAGGATATATTGCCAGCCTAAAACCAATTAGGCAAGGTGAGGAGTACTTCTCTTCATGTTTTCCACCTTTTTCATTTGTTTTGTAATTTCCAGCTCATGAATGCACAATCCCTTTGGATGCTTACAACTATATGATTCCTCAACCATATTTGCGTATAGAAATAAAATTTGAAATTAACATGCAAATAACATTGTTTACGCCAAAATATGTTTATTGTTATTTGTACTAAGAAATGAATCAGGGACGAAATTAGACATAAGACAAAGAGAGAAACAAACAATGAAGTTAATAAAAAAAGAAAGAACGATATTGATGTTAGATGAACTGAATTATTATATTATAATTATATAAAAAAAAATTTAGGTAAACTTGACCCATACATTTCCTCTTTGGATTCGCCTCTTAAATGAATCCAAATGAGGTAATAAGGTTTCTATAGATATTTTAAAAAATTAAAAAAATTATCGTACACTCAAAATTGTATTTTTTTAAAAATATTTTTACAATAAAATTAATAAATTCATAATAATTATATATTATATGTTGAAAAAAAATTTTAAATCCGTCTTGTATTTCTATAAAATGACAATCTCACAATAAAATGTGTTTTAACAACTTATTTTTCTCGATTTTTATTTAGAAAATAAAATTATTTTTATTACTTAGGAATAGGATTTATCCGTCCATTTCTTGCTGAGTCATGTGGAACGAGAATTCACGAGTGGATTATTTAAAAAGCGATAGGCCCCACAACTAAATGATTGAGAAATCCCTGGGCCCATCCCCAAACCCTAAAAATCCATGATCTCCACATCACCCCAAGCAGTGCAATCCAGATGGCAAATCACTTCCTTACACGTGGAAGATAAGATAAATCATGTTCTTTTATCAACGGTTCTGATGTAAGGTCTATGTTGAGAGACTGATATCGAAAGGCAGCGTAGAGAAATGCCAGAGAAGAAAATAAATAATTAAATATTATTATCAGCGCAGAGCTTTCACGGTATGCTTTTCAAGCACACCCGTGAAAAGGACTAATGGAGGAATCGTACTTTGACCCACTATTACACGTGGATGATGATGATTGGAAGACACTTGACAGACCAATGCAAAATGCGTGACTTAGACTTTCTCTGTAAGTTCGTTGTCAGCAGAGGCGGCAAAATTCCGTTTGACATCTGTCATTTTAAAATATATAAAAAAATTATTATAAATTTATTAATTAATATAATATTTAAAAATTATTTATTTATTCTTATCCTCATTTAAAATAAATTATATGTAAAATAAATATCATTTCAATAAATAAATTTAAAATTTAAATATCGCATAAAAATTTTACGTTAAATATTTTATTATAATCATACTCTTATTCTTAACATTAATCCTATAATGAAATTTTACTGTTTGGATTCTGGCACTTACCGAAGTGCCAAAAATACCCTTCAATAATAGAAAATTTTCCATTTTCAGGCAAATGATAAAAGAAAATTTATCCCTTCTTTTGTCAAAAAAAATTTTTAGACTCCCCAAAACATGTAAATCTCTTTAATGGTTGGCCTAGCATAAAAAAACATAAGCTGTCTTTATCATAAAATTTAGATTTTGATCATTTCAGTGTCTTGAAATTCAAACTCACAACCGACAATGGGATCTTACCAAAATTTTTGTTGGATGTTCTTTGGGATTGAGGCCTGAGGGAAGCCTACTAATTGGGGACACCCATTTTGTTGGACGAAGTAAAACTATCTGATGAAACTTTCTAGTTCTACCATAAAAAAACTGATGACATGCATATTATAATGTCTTTGTTGTGGAAGTGGAATAACGTCTGATAACCTTTTTCCATGGAAATACTGGTTTTTCCACACTCGTTTACAAAGGGCATCCAGCAAATACCCAGCTGCATGGCAGAGTTTCAAAGATTGGCTATTTTGCATTTGGACTGAAATAATTTCAGGCTTAATTAATAGATAATTAAAGAATAAGATATGGTCAAAGCAAGAATCAAGATCAGGATAAAAATGGGCTTAGCATATCTTGATTCTTCTTCAAAATGTAGAACAACTAGAAAAATAAGAGCATTAAGAAAATGGAGATTATTCTGGTTCAGAAATTTGAAATCTAAAATGTATATAGGAATTGAATAAGAAATGTATGGGGTATGTACAATGCCCCAAAATTGTTATCTTTATCATGTTAGCTCATGGAATACAATTGAACTTTCAGCTGCAGATTATGGCATAAGGAGTTCTAATTGAGAAAAGAATGCTAACATGAGGCTAGAGTGCTATTGGTACTTGCAATCCATCGTAGCTCAGTTGTACATCAAGACCCTCGGTTTTCATCAAATTTTTGAGGTATTCATTCACTTTTTCATGGTCCATCCGATGCATCATGCCTTCATAAACAAGTGCAAAACTAGTCAAATAATAAGCATGCAATTTGCATAATTACACCCTAACGCTGCAAATGAGATTGATCACATTAAAAATCAGTTTAGTTGTAAAAACCAAAACCCTTTAAATGGATAGAATTGCAGTCGCAAAGGCCTGAAACACTTTAAAGAAGATGGGCTAAATACCGGTAAAGAGTGTCCTCTTGGGTTTAATCTTCCGTACTTCCTCCAAAGCCTGAAGATAAGATATGAAGTAAAAAACAAGTAAATTTTAAAATTCTAATGTTATCAGTTTCTTCCTAGAAGATGTAAAAGCAAATACCCTTGGGAGTCCAAAATGAGTTGATGAAGAACGATCAGGCCGCAAAGCATCCTGAGAGATCATTTCACATATGGGCTTAAATAAGAACGGTGATAATACTCTTTAGAAAAGAGCATTCATGAAGTTAGAAGCAAATTATGGTGTGTGCATGTGTATGTATACAGCGAAAGAGAGAGGACCAGAATGAGGATTTCACAGTTCTCCAGAAGAGGATAAGTTTCTTCAGGTATATCGCTGACATCACTGCAAATGCAATACCAGATGAACGTCATCGCCCCAATGAGAACTGAATGAAGTAGCAAAAAAGAAAAACTTTCTCATGTCTTTAAAACATAGAGGTATTACCTGATGTAACAAGTATTACCAAAACGAAAACCAAGTGAACGATAACCATGACCATGCCACACAGGTAAAGGGGTAAACTGAAGCACAATGTTTGGACAGAGATTGCAAGTTAGGACCAGAGATAACCTGATATGTATGAATGTTCAAAGGGAGCTGTGTCTAACTTCATATACATGTTAAATTACTTAATAGGCATGTTTCAGCAACAATATGTATGAATGTAGCAAAAAATAATCAATTTGATCATAAACTTTTTAACCTGCCTTTTTACAACATGTAAGAGCAGCCTGAAACAGAGATAACCTGTTCTAGGGCATGATTCACTTTTCTACAGTCAAAACTCAGAACTTAAACCTCTCATTCCAGTTTCAGGAATGCATGTTGCACTAAGAAATTCTAGTTCACACTAAGCGAACAACTAATCACCTGTAAATCATGCACGATGAAAGGTTCTTCTTGTATGATATTAAATTGCAGATCTGAGACTGCAGCACCAGGTGTAATGACACTTGTATCTACCAAATAATAATGAGTCTTCTTCATCACCTGAAATTGTTAAAGCAGCTATTATACAATTGTTCCAAAACCAGAAATAATTCATGCATAACAAATCATTTGAATGATTAAATTATATCAGTTTGTGGATTATTTTTGTCAAAATCTCAACCAGCGATAACAGATCAAATTTCCTTATGATCCAAATTAAGAGATGTAGAGCTAAAGCTTTTCACATTGTAATCATTCTGACAGACCCATTTATGTGCCGCAATATAAAGCTTATTGATGAATACTACTAGCCTCAACACACCATTCCTTTCTATCATTTTATGAGATTTGCTTTAGAACCAGTCTTTGTTTCACATTTGTTACTAGAAGTTAAAAGAAATGCAAGTTAAATTCAATACCAAAGTGAATTATCAGACACAAACAAGTATGCATGCACATCACCTATGCACAAATTTCATATTCATATGTTCAAAATATAATATAGAAAGATAAAACTTGATTGTGGACCTCGAAATCACGCTTTGCAACATAAATTGGGATGTTTGGCTGCACATTGTTTGTCCAATCACGTAGATCATCAAGACCTGGGGGAAGCAGAGAGACAAAATTTTGAGTTTAGACAACTTGAGTTTCTAGGTAAAAAGGTCAAAAAAAAAAAAGAAGGCAAAAGCTTAATACATCATCACAGATAGGCTAATCTATTTAGAGAGTAATATTAGAAAGTGTTCATGTCAGAGACCTCCAATTGCATCAGCATGAGAATGAGTAATTATAACCGCATCAATTGTTCTTATCCTGACAGAAATGCAACTAGTTACAATGAGGAAAAATACGTGACAGTCAACATATATACCATAACATAATCAGAAAACATTCCTCCACCAGTCTTTGATGCATAATGACTTTAAAGAATGATTATAAACTGAGAAATCTATGTTCGTACTAAAGCTATACACTTAAGGAAGCATCAAGATTGGTGAATGCTTACATTATTCACAAAATCATATGTTTTAGTATACTTCATTATAATATGCTCCTATGCTAGTTTAGGCATTGAAAATTTGTTTACATTGATCTCTACGAGCAATTATAATAAGAAAAGAGTATTTTAACTGCATTCCTAAACTGTAATATGCAAACACAATTTGATGAAATACTGAAATATATTTTATCTGGTTCAGTATAAAGAATAATACGAAATGTAATTTGAATGTCAAACCAAAAATAATTCTTGTGTACAAATGATTTCCAGTACTGAGAAGAAAAATCAAACTAGCACAAGAAAACTAGCTGGCTCATGGTGCCTACCGTACATGGAGACAGTATAACAATATCATAGAATTCTAAAATAAATGGTCATCCAAAATACAATAACCGAGAAGCTACTAATGAAAGAATACAAAAGTTGTATTTCAATCCTATAAATTATATGGGATGTCTGATCATCTTAAGGTGTATGGGATTTAACTGGAGGAGGGGGGGATGAAAAAAAATACAAAAACATCAAGTCATATGCATGAACAAGAGTATTCTAAAAATGCACATAAAATCAACCGCCAAAGCCCATTGATGACCATAATAATTGCCTACAATCAAATCCTACCTCCATCAGCCTGGTGCCAAAATACTTAAGAGATAGGGAAGGGCTATCCCCATGTCATAGCCTGCCTTTAGAGAAGAATAATAATAATGTTTAACACATTTAGATTCCATCATAGAGTTACAACAAACAATTTCCACAACTAAAAATGTAAAAGTATCTAAGATTCCACAAAGGTAGAACTTCTCCATATATGACCATACTATAGAGTGATTAGATTGAACACCATGGACCATCTGATATATATAGGTCTTAGATATAATAATTCAAAATTTTAAGAAAAGGAACAGGTAAAAACTAACCCGAAGGCTGGAAACCATCGAAGAGCACTGTGGTAGAAAAACCTACAAAACAAAGTCACAATTGAGAAATCATACCAGATAACTATCTGTGGATTGAAGAAGCTAGCAACAATTGAGCAGCCATTAGGCAGTTTTATAGTGGTTTCCAGGAATTAGTTTAGCAATAAGGAGCATGAATCTTTCATTGCTTTTCTCCTCTGTTTAAGGCAACAAGATGATACAAGCATCAAATTTTGGAACAGTTATATCACAGTTTAGGGATTTAGTCAAGCAATAAGGCTTTTGGGTTTTGACAAACCATTTGAGTTGAGAGTTTCAACTGCCTTTTTATTTTGTTTGTGGCTAAAAGAAAAGAATCAATTCACTTATTGAGTCTGTTGAAAGACACTTTTTTCTTTTCATTCTCCTTTTATATGTTAACTGTAACAATTCTGAAGTATAAACAGTCAAATGCCAGCATCTAAAAAAATTGAAAGAACAGTACAAAATATGATGCAAACCCAAACTGTTTGGATCAGAAATTCCCGAGCATCCAGTGAGGATCAAAAATAACTTTTACAACTAACTTTTAAAGGAACACTTGATTTTGTTAAAGTAACCTTAACTTACTTGCCAGCATCTATTAGAATGTTGCATCTTCCAGAAGGCTTAGAATAACGAATAAGCATGCTTGTATTAAGTCTCCGGTTTTTGTTACCAGGCTCTACAGCTTTGGTGCACACCTGTGGAAACCAGGAATCATTGAATGATTTCAAAAAAAGAAAGCAGAAATTTTGAACAAATACAAAGAAAGCAAGGCAAAACTACTTATGATCAATAGATCAGTTCTGATGGCTAGTAATACCGGGCATTTCTTTACAGGATCAGTTAGGCAGCTGACACGAGGAATGCCTTCACTAGTTCCCGTCCCTACAAAAATTATCTCAGATTGTTCTGCGGGTAACTTTGCTCCCGTATCCACACTAGCAAAACCTGTATTCCAGGCACTGTCACTAACAATAACTAATGTACCGGGCAAAGCAATAGCATAGTAGAATCATTATAGACCTTATCAGCATTGTCTTTCAACTAGATAAACAAAGAACAGTTAAATTTCACTCTGTATCCTTATTTATAACAAATGTACCAAACAATAAGCGACTTCGTTTATTAAAAATAAAGTTCAGAAATCGGTCCACCACGCTTCCCCTGCGTCACTCTATACCAGCTTAAGAAGATAATACCTGACGAATTATCCAAAAGAGCCTAAATTTATATTTAAATTGAAAAGAAACCCAAAATAGCCTAACTGATGAGTAAAAAAATAATAATAAATAATCTCAACAAAAGGAAGAACTCTCATCTCATTACAAACAAAACCAATAAAAGTTCAATGAAAATAACTAATACCCAAAAAACATTATCACGCATTTCATTGCATACCACTACCAGAAATACAAAACAGATTATAAAAGGAACCAGATAACTAAAAGTAGAATAGTTAGTAAAAGAACATACTAGATTGAAGGCAAGCTTGAAGAAACCTCCTGAATGGAGAGAACCCATTTCTTGGAAATGAAATTGGAGAGTTTTGTATTGATATTTGGCGATTGTAAGGTGCCAAACTCGTTAAAGAAGTTGTGGATCGAACTGTGCCCAGAAATGGAACCATTGATAAAGCTACCATTATTTTTTTTTTTTAAACTTCAGCTTTCTTTTTGTCTTTTTTAACTTGAAATTTTAAAGATTAAAAAGAAAAAATGTGCTTTTTGTAGTGAAAATTTTCGTTTTTTTGGTTCAGAATATTCGTTTGGAGAGCCTTAGTTGACTGAAGAAAAGAAGCATAAGGGCTACCACATTTTGGTTTTGCGCTTTTACACAAGTAAAGGATGCCGTTTCTAAGTCCGAGAGCGATGCTGATTTGGGCTTGTGTGCATTAATAGCTTTGGGCTTGGACCACATGACTGTGAGCTCTACCTGTATCCTGTATGTACCTAAACTTGTCGTTCCTGTCCAATCCAATAAGCAGTGTCCTAACTTGATTTTTACTAGTTAATATTTTCAACTCTAACAAAATTTTATTATCAAATGATCATTGATTAAAATTTGAAAAAAATATATATTATAATCCCTTTCTAAAATTTCAAATATATAGTATTAATTGGTTAAATCAGCTATAAAATTTTTACTTTATAAACGAAATTAGAAAGTTGACTTTATGGTCAAGTAAGATGCATTAATAAAGTTAATAATAAATTATTATAATAATTAAATTGGCTACACGTGATAATATTTATTCTCGTTTATAAAATTTAAAATTTTTGTCACCTATGCAAAAAATATAATTTAAAATTTCTGTTGAATATTGAAAAGAATGTCCGAAGCTGAAGAAAATGAGCAATGTGATATGGAACATCATGTGTGATAAAGTGAAGATATCAGTAGATTTACTTCTTCAAAATATTGCTGCTTTTCTGTTGAGGTTTTTCTTTTTTTTTTTTAATTTATATGATAATTTAAGTTCGCTGTTGAGTTCTGAATAGAAAAGTTATGAAATATGCACCCACATTAATTATTTATATGATAATTTTACTTGTGGATCAAAATTAAGTAAAATGTGTATGGAGGCCTCAAATCCGTAAAAATACAGAAAATGAATTGAAATGACATTGCAGCCACATTAATTATTAATAAGGCGCCCAATTATTTTCAATTTCAAAATCACAACACTCATCTTTCCTACAATTGGTTTTCCAACAGCGACTGGCATGTTCTCTACAATCTTAAATGTAGTTATCATACTTGCATCCTTTGAAATCGTATTTCCTTTTAGTTCAGATAAGAAAAATCAAAGGAGATAGGAGTATCGCCTTAACCCCTCAATTTCTTTACATATTGCATCATTGTTCATTTAACTTTTACCAAATTTTATTTTGGTCACTAATTTGTACCAATAAATTCATTAAATTTTGTTAATTATGTCAAATCTAATCATCTTAATAGATTTCATTAAAAAATTAACAAAAAAATTACATGATTATCATGCAAATTGTTCCATCATCTGCCACATTAACATTTTTTAGACTTTAAAAAAATAAAAAGAAAAAATTCACCACAAATTCAATTACAGAAAAACGAATGGTAAAACATAGAAGAAACAAAAGGAAAATATAGTTCTTTTTTGTGTTGTATAGCCATCACACTCCAATCAAAACCAACCACACCGTCAAATCCAACCCAACTCCATCCAAAAATCTGGTTTTTCATGAAAAAATAAATCACTAAAAAGAACCTAAAATATAAACAGAAAAAAACTTACAATAACTGAGCCGAAAATCAAACCAAATTTTAAAGGAAAAAAAAACCGAATATGTCATTTGACGTGGCATTGACAGGATATTAATGTAGTCGCTTATACGATAATTACATCATTTTTTATTAAATTTTGGATAAAATTAATTATAATGATTTGATTTGGTATAATTAAAAAGTTTAATAATTTTATCAATACAAATTAAAATTTAGTGATCCAAATAAAATTTTATTCAATTCAATGATTAATAATAAAATTTATTCGCAACTTTTCATATTAATTAATTATATTAATACTAATAACAACTATACAATGTGTTCAATAATATATATCTTAATTATAACAATATAAATATTAAGAACTTGAAACTTGGACTTCGAATATAATTATATATGAAATGATTTTTTTTCTAATTTATTATCCTTGCCGTTGGAGTAATATGCAAAAAGTCTTGTCCCAAAAAAATAAAATACGATTTCTAGTCAAATACGTGTGCATGGCGCAAGTTGATAGCATAATCAATGACACTGGATTTGGGCATTGGGGCGGCCACATGTTCCCTAGACTTTTTCAACCATTTGACTAATGAAGGAAATGAAAGCCATTTTCTTGTACTACCTTCCAATATTCAACTATATACTACTAATAATTGTAGATATAGATACGTAGAAATCTTTTTTATTTTTTTCTTCGGCTGCATTCCCATTACTTTGTGCTTTTTCTAATTTTTTATAGAGTTTAAGCTGATCCGGAATTAAATTTCTGATCACGTTTAATTATTTAATCATATTTAAATCATCCATTGAATTTTATATGTCTATCATGAGCCTATGACCCTATTAAAAGAAAACAAGCATAGAAGAAGGAAGAAAATTTATTTATTTGGCCAAAAAACAAGTAGTCAAGTAGTAGTATATACAAGAGCAAAATGAATCATTTATCTTTGATTTTTTTAACGTTTTATTTTCTTTTTTTTTTTTAAGATAATTGAATTTGTCAAATATTAAACTATAATCATCAAAATTAAAATTTTAATATTCTATTAATAATTCATACATAAAGATGATAGCAGATTGAATCGGGATGAGTTTTTCTTATTTTAAATCGATGATTTTTTTTTAATATTAAATTGATCTAATATTATATAAAATTATATTTGATCTGAAATTAATAAAATATTATTTATCAATGTAAATATAAAATTAAATAAATATATAAGTATATATAATTAAATAATTAATTAAAAAATAATTATATATATATCAAATCAAGTCATGATGGATTTACTTAAAATCCAACGTCGACTTTGTTTTATAATTACTCGATCTGTAATTCGATTAAAAAAATGAATCTTAAAAAATAAGATTATGTCGAAATTCATTGGGGATGAGTTGGATTGTCATCTTTAATCACATAATTATTAAAAATATTCTATTTTCATTTGTAATCTAAAAAATTTGATAAAAAAACAAGTTTTTTAAATTATAGATGATAACAAAACTATTCTATTTAAAAAAAAAAAAAGGGTTTGCTTTTGCTTTCATCTCCCACGCTCGTGTACATTAGGTATATATCCATTTTAAGATACAAATCCTGCTTTGAAACAATTTTGTGATGGATCATGAACCACGTGCAATTTTATTAACTACTTATACGAAAACATTTTTCGTTTAAAAAACAATTTTGAAGTCAAAACTAGATTGCAAGAGGCATGGCAAATCTAATAATAGCCCACTCCCGCAAGCAGAAAATCAGAAAGAATTAATGGCAATTTTTGTTTTCCAAATTTTCAATTTCAGAGTTTTTCTTATGAGAATTTTATTTTAATGTTTTTGTGAGCTAAGATATGTATATGTAATTCAAGTTTATTAAACGATATAATTTTTTTTAAGGAAATGGATTGATTGCAATTCAAGTTTATTAGAATTTGATCAATCAAAATCTTCAAGTTTAGAAACAGATTATGTGCTTAAACAACTCGATTATATATTTTTATAGCATCAATAAAATAAAGTGAGAGAAAGTTTATTCGAATTCAATTTTTTTTTTATTAATACATTCCTTTACCATTAAATCATATATTTAAATAGGTTGGCTATTGAGGGTTTGACATTGTCCATTGGAATCACATCCTATGGTTGAAATTACAGTTTTAATAAACCAATTTAATTTAATTTAAGTGAATGATGATGGAACGCTTCATTAATTAATAACTACCAACGAAGCCAACTTATTAATTTGAGAGTGAAATTGAAGTGGATTTATCATATATATATTTAGCTTTACTAGTGTGGGAGGGAACTTGCACGTTTGAGCATTTAAAAGCCCAGAATCCCAGCTGTTATAGCCTGAGTGATCGCCCCTTGCCTGCCGTATCCATCCAGCTAAACCGGATTCTATTGTTTTTACGGGATGGATTTTTATAAATTTAATATTCGATTTTATGGCTTGCAATTTTTTTTTTATTTTTTAAAAAGAAATTGTAAATTTATATTTATTTAGCAAGATATCTTTAAGGCTATTTCATAGTCTAATAATACTATTATATTTGTATATATATTAATGTTACCCTAATCAAGCTATAATTGTCATCCAATGAGAAATTTGGTAACACCATCGATTTGCTTCATACAATTAATGGATTTTAAATGACCCCTCCACCCCCCCCCCCCCCCCCCCCCCAAAAAAAAAAGCCTACTATCTTCTGTATTTATTAATTTTATAACGTGACAGCCATAACCATTTAACCAATAAAAACATGAGATAAATAAATTATTCACTATTTTTAGTCAATTTTAAAGGTGGCATCGTATCTGAATAATAATTCATGGACAAGATTCAAATTTAAAATTATTAAAGTTGGATTGAACATTAACTCTATTAATATTCACATCAATTAAGTTTTGAAAAAATTTAAACGTGTAATACTTTTTAATTAAAAAATTTTTAAAAAGTAAACGAGTTTATCTATTGAATTAAAATTTATTGGTCAAATGTTTATAGCTTTCACGTTATAAAGTTAGTAAATACAGAAGATAGTAGGTTAAATGAATCTTGTCTATGAATTATTTTTTATATACAATGCTACCTTTAAAATTGATTAAAAATAGTGAATAATTTATCTATCTCGTGTTTTTATTTAACCAATAAAGATTAATTCAATAGATAAAATTGTTTACTTTTTAAAAATTTTTAATTAAAATGAACTACACGTTTAAATTTTATGAATTTTTAACTTTTAAAAACTTAATTGACACGAATATTAATAGAGCTAATGTTCAATCAACTATTCATTTTAACTTTAATAACTTTTAAATTTGAATATTGTCCATGAATTATTGTTTAGATACAATGCCTTTTTTATAACTTCTATATAACGTGAAAGCCATAAACATTTAACCAATAAAGATTAATTCAATAGATAAATTAGTATATTTAAGATTTTTTTTGTTAAAATGTATTACACACTTAAATTTTTTTTTAAAATTTTTAACTTTGAAAAACTTAATTG